TCCCCCCCCCCCCCCCCCCCCCCCCACCGACATCACTGCATACACACACACGCACACGCACACGCACACGCACGCCACCTCGCCGCCCCCCGCTCACCGCCAGGTCCTGCGGTATGGGCGCCCCGCTCTCCTTGAGCGCCTTGACCAGGTCTGGCGCGTACTGCTCCTCGTCGGGGCCGATGAAGGTGATGGCGGAGCCCTTGGCGCCCGCACGCCCCGTGCGCCCCACCCTGCACAACAGCAGGCAGGCAGGCAGGCAGGCAGGGCACGCGCGGTGAGAGAAGGCTCCTTTCCTGGCGCGTGCACGGCGTTGGAAGGGGCAGGGCAGGGGCGGGCCTGCCGCGGCCAGTGCTCCCCGCCCCAGCCGCCACCAGGGGCAGGCCCGCGCTGGCCCCCGCCGCCCGTCGGTTGCGCCCTGCGCAACGCCAGCGAACCCGGCGCACCTGTGCACGTAATCTTCGTGGTGGTTGGGCACATCATAGTTGACCACCAGCACCAGATCCTTGACATCCAGGCCGCGGGCAGCCACTGCAGGGGGCGGTGGGAGCGGGCCAACAAAGCGGGGGAGGGGATTAGAGAGGAGCCGCTGGACGGGAGCTGGGGCCGCGGCGCAGGCAGGTCGGCAGCGTCGGAGCAGCGTGGGGCCAGGGGCCGCCGTCGTCGCGCCTCCAGTTGCAGCTTCCCCCAGCCCGCCCAACCCACCGCTTGTGGCCAACCAACCACCGCTTGCTGACCCCCCAGACCACCCACCCACCGCTCGTGGCCACCAGGATGTTGCACACGTTGGCCTTGTAGTCCACGATGGTGGACTCGCGGTCGCTCTGGTCCTTGCCGCCGTGCAGGCTGCAGGGAAGGGAGGGGCGGCGGCGCACGCAGGCGTGGGTGCAGAGCCGGGAGGGACGCGGAGAGCGCGTCGGTGATGCATGTCGGTGGCGGGCAGGCAGGGAGCATAGGCGCATGCGCAACAGGGGCGTCTGCGGCACGAGCCCCGCGCCGGCATTCCAGCATTTGCCAGCAGCGCAGCAGCCGCCGGGCCGGCCCTGCTCCCCTCCCCTCCCCCGCCGCTCTCGCCCCCGCCTCCCAGCCCAGCCCGGCCACGGCGCGCGCGCCTGAGGCAGGGGTACCCCGCGCGCAGCAGGTCCCGGAACAGCGTGTCGCAGCGGTCCTGGGAGGACACAAAGATGAGCAGCTTGCCGCGCTCGTACCACTCCCCCAGTATCTCCAGCAGGCGCAGGAAGCGGTCGTCCTCGGGGCGGATCTCGATGAACTGGGTGATGTCCTTGTTCACCACGCTGCGACCGCCCACCTGGATCTCCACAGGGTTGTGCAGCACCTGGCGCGCCAGCACCTCCACCTGTGGGGGTGGGGCAGGGGCAGGGGGAGGGAGGCCGGAATGAGGCTGGTGGGGCGAGGCTGGGCCTGGCGCCGGCTCCCTGTTGTTGCTCCACCCTTACGGCTCCCTCCCCCGCAGGGCTGGGGCAGCCCGGCACCTGCAGCCCCCATGCCCCGGTCCACCACCCCAGCAGGGCCCGCAGCCCGGCCGCACCCAGCAGCGCGGCCGTCCCGCCCCGCCCCGCCCCGCCCACCTGTCGCGGGAAGGTGGCCGAGAACATGACCGTCTGCCTGTCGGGGCGTATGTTCTGCACAATGCGCATGATCTGCGGCTCAAAGCCCATGTCAAACATGCGGTCCGCCTCGTCCAGAACCAGGTACGTCACGCGCCGCAGGTTGGTGATGCGCCCGCCGCTGGTCACTGCAGTTGCGGCGTGTGTGGGGGGTGGGGGGTGGGGGCCAGGGCCGGGGTGGCGCGCAGGCAGTGAGAGGGGCGAGCCAGGCGCACGGCGTGTGGCGGTCACGCCCGCTGTTGTGCCTGCATTCGGGTACAGGTGCGGGTGGAGGTGCGGGTGCTCCAGGCAGGGGCGACCCTCTGCTCACCCAGGATGTCGATCATGCGGCCCGGCGTGCACACCACAATCTCCGTGCCGCGCTTGAGCTCGGTGATCTGGTTGGCCACGCCGGTGCCGCCGTACACGCACACGCACGTCAGCCCCACCACCTTGGCAAACCGCTTGACCTCCTTGCCAATCTGCGGCGCGTGCCAAGGAGGGAGCGGGTGCGGGGGGGGGGGGGGGGGGGG